TTAATCCTTGCTTTCGCTTACAAATTTAAAGCAATCCTGCTTATTACTTTTAAGTATACTAAATAYTTGAATTTTTAGTTTCTTTGAGCGTTAATTGTGTTCATACTACACAAAGGTAAGCTAGTACATAGGCATCGAAAAATTTAGTACTTGTTTTATGTATGTATGTATAAACCCAAAATTTAGCACCGTTTGGAAACCGCATTAAATTGTGAAATGGAATGTGATATAGGTTTTATATTCCTATATATACATACATACATATGTTCATATAATGTATTAAAGGGCTTGATACGCTCACTTGGTATTTTGGTATGATATGTTTTGCAGGGTATATTTCTTCCTGCGTTTTGTAAGAAGMGATTTTGGTTTTAATAAAGAATTGTATTTTGTGTATGTATTGATGCTTGAAGTAGCAATTGCTTTTGCGTGTTTTGACCACTTATTGTATTATTATAGCAAAATTGTTGTGTGCTTTTATTAATTTTATTAGCGGTTGTTTATAATTTCTTATTTTATCGGTTTTATATGACAATTGTTTCTTATTTGTCTTTTTCGAACGATAAGAACGACCTTTGCTTTCTTTTTTTTAAGTCTACGTGCGTCAAAGTATCGCATTGGGCATATGGTTCTCGTTGGATCTTAATTTTGTTTAAAATTTTATTTATTTTGAAAATTTACGAAAAATTTCGATTTTTCGATTTTTTGATACAACTGTGTTACATACATATATGTTATGTTTTAGTGCGTATGCACCAATTTGACGTTTAGTAGCCCGTCACCGCTCTAGGATTTGTTCAAAATTGGCTTTTTGTTTTCATTATTGGCGAAAACCATCCTGCGGGGCCGAAAAGTTGTATGTGCTTTTAATAATTGTGGCTCTAATGGTAGTCGTACAACGTACCAGCCATTTGTTCGAGTAGTTGTGGCTATCGAGTAGTCCAAATACGGATCTTTTAGAGTTTTATTTAATATTCGGGGAAGTTTCCCTATCTCTTGGAATTTCCTTAATTGTGAATTAAGGTTTGCATTATCTTCAACTTCAGTTGGTGTGGTGGTAATTGGTTCTGAAACTAGTCCACTTAGAATCCAAACGAATATAATGTTTTGCGCTAGAAGGGTGGTTGATATTTTATCAACACCTTTATGTAATATTTGCGGTATAAGGTCGCTGCCTAATACAATATCTATTTGAGGTATTTTGTTGCAGTCGGGATCTGCTAGTTTAAAGTGTGAGACCTTCTGCCAATGTCTGCTTTATATGTAATAGCTTGGAAGCATATTTGTTAATTGTGGTAGGACTATAGCTTCTTCTTTAATTCCCTTATCTGCTTAGAGGGAAATTATGGTAATGGGACAGATTTTATTTGAGTTTTGGCTTACTTTTCCGCCTATTCCCGTAATTTCAAAATTTGATTGTTTGGTTGACAATTTGTAGCAATGTAAATACTGTATTATGTTGTATCGTTACCTTATTTTGATGTTACTTGAATAAGCAATCCTGTTGTACTTTTGAATTTGTATCTTACCTTATTTTAATGTTACTCGAATAAGCAACCCTGATGTAATCTTTAAAAAACTTGTAACTGGCGACATGAAAGCGAGAAAAATAAAGAACAGTCAGTCCGGACGCAACCCCGAAACGAATCGGTTTTCATACAAAATGTCAGAAGTGGGATTCGGGCACAGTAGCAAAGTACAGATTTAAAAAAATTTTGCAAAAAATGGAGTGCGTCGATACAAACATATATACGGCGGCCCAGTTGCTGTCTCTTATACACATCTAGACGATCGAGCAACTTAAATCAAGCAATGTAGTAGGCGGCGCCACTGATATGACAGAAAAAGACGATTCATCGAATAGCAGAGCTTCGACTACTTTAAATAACGGCGCAACGAATGTCAACGCGACATTCAACAAACAAACAAACATACACTATGCAACAAATAATAGCGGCGGCTCTTCGAACGACAGCGGCGCATTGAACAACGACAGCGGCGCATTGAACGACGACAGCGGCGCATTGAACAACGGCAGCGCTTTCAACGATAACAGCACATTAAACGACAATGACGGTTTGAACAGCAACTGTAGGCACAGTAACAAACGAACGTAATAAAGATTAACCCTTAAGCTATACCTTTGGAGATGTTAAAAGATCTGTTACCAGAATACGAAWACGAAGGTGGGCCGAATTTTAACGTTTGGATTCAACAATTAAGAAGTGCTGGGAAAGTTTTTAATCTCGATCATGGCGCGCTGCGCGCTATAATGATAAGCAAACTAAAAGGTAGTGCAAGAGTGTGGCTGCATGCGAGGCCTCTGTTTATCACAGAAAATATAGACAGCCTTGTTGCAGAAATGCAAGCGGTGTTTGCACTAACACACAACGAGCTGTTGCTGCGAAGACAGTTTGAAGCGCGCAAGTGGTCGGTTGGTGAAAGCTTCCAAAAGTACTACAATTAAAAGGTTTCACTGTCAGGTTCGTTGAATATGGATGAATGCGAGTTGATTGACCATATTGTCGAAAGTATGCCGGACGAGCAGTTACGGACTCAGGCATATATCCAATGCTACACTACAAGAGTGCAGCTTCTGCAGGCGTTCGGGAGAGTTGCACTAGTGTCAGATGTTTCAACTGCAACTCATTTGGACACATGGCATGTCGGAAACCGAAGCGAGAGGTTGGGGCGTGTTATGGGTGTGGCAGCATGGAGCATAAAGTCGCTAAGTGTCCAACGAGGATTCAAAACAACAGTGCATTGCGCGTGATATTTAAAGTTTATTGTGAGTAATAATTCTGAATGTATTTTATATTTAGAATGAATCATAGACTCAGGGAGTCCAATAAGTTTTGCAAAACGATCATCCTTACCAGATAATATTGAATGTAATGATAACTTTTCAGTTTGTATTCCATATTTTTGGTTAAATAAAAGTAAATTAGAAATGTTTGGTGAATTTAATTGTAATGTTTGTTTCGAAAATAAATTTGTCAATATAAATTTGATCGTAGTGGCCAATGAGACTATGGGTTATGACGTAGTTTTGGGTAGAGACTTTTTCAAAGCAAGTAATTTAGTTTTGATATGCAAGGATGAGGTCAAAAAGTATACATTTATTAAGTTGAAAAAGAGTGTTGATGATGACAGTGTTGAATATGAAAGTGTAAGCGATGAAGGTAAACATAAAGTGGTCGGATTCAAAAAAGATTGTAATAAAAACTCTAAAGTAGAAAATTGTATAGTTACGTTAAATGAAACAAATGATAGGAAAATGATAGTTAATGCAAATAAAAATAAAACGTTAACTGATGTGAATAATGGAGTCATGTGTAGAAGTTCACGCAAGTGAGGAAAGTTTTCTGATCGCCATTCATTTGGGAGTGGCCAGAAACGATTCTTTWAAATATGAMTCAAGCAGCTCACGACTTCCGGTCTTTGACCAAGTATCCTCTGAGTAGCCTAAGAACATCCGTTTGAAGGCAAGCTAAAGTGAGAAGGCGAAACATTCCCTGCATAGGGTACAGTGGCCATATAAAGGAGCGCAAGTTTGGTGTGGGATTCGTGGTGGGAAAGAAACTCCGTCGCCGAGTACTATCATTCACCCCGGTGAATGAACGTCTAGCCACAATCCGCATCAAAGCGAGGTTTTTCAACATATCGCTGATTTGCGCCCACGCCCTGA